GCAGGTACATCCAGCTGACAAGTCCCAAGTAGAACGAAACCCTCGTTCTGAATTCCACTGCTAGCCACTATCCATCTTTGTTAATAACTATTATAGTTTGGTTATAATTATTGTTGCCTAATCAGTTAAAACATAACGTTTTTTCCTTAGCCCTATAGTGAAAGAAATTTATTATACATCTTTTTATCAAGCAGTTAAAATATGTAATAGTAACTGGAACGTGGTAGTAAAGAAAAATCATAACGATTCGTGTTTGTACATAAAACAAATGTCAATATAACCATAAATACCTTGATCAAATTATGCAAAAATATTCAAATATTCAACTGTCACTAGAAAGAAATGACTTATTAAGGGAAGTTCAATGTGAATGAAAAGCAAAATAAACGTACATACAACTTACAAAGCCAGTGTCAATTGGTGTGAGTAGATTATGACCATTTCGGGATTTTAATATTTTAGTTAACTGTAATTTCGAAAAGTATGGGTACATTTTCATGAATATTCTACGAATGCTACATAGATGCATCTAATTGTGTTTTGATTGAGATCATGAACTTATCGATGTTAGACCACCATTGAAAACATGGGATCACCATACAGTCGTTTCATCCTCGTATGAGATTCTTCAGAAGTACGCATCCACGATTCCGTACGTAAAATTCGAACCCAGGACGTTTGATCTCTCGCGTGAACTCCTAACCTCTATATCATTGTGCATCTAGTTATATTTACATTTCATGATTTTCGTATGCAATATAAAATGAGAATAATGATAACTTAATTTACAATGTGATTGAACATTTTAAAAACTACCACAATTTTTTCTTTAAAAAAAGCGGTAGATTGAAATGAAAATTTACTGCATATAAATAAAATATGGTATAAATTCAAAAGCGATAAAACTTACATGATTAGTCGTTTTGGCGATATTTCACACTTCATTTTAAAAAACTATTTTTTCCGGTCTATCTTAAATTACTTTCGTGTTATTTAGACTCGTTCTAACAAATTTAATAACTAACCTATTTCAGTGATTACACGAACATACAGATATATCGTTTTCTCTGTATCCATATTTAGAATCATTGATATATAGTATAGTATAGATATTATACTTGTTGTATCAAATTGTTACATGCATCATATTAAGAAAAGATTTCTCACTATATATTGCTACGGTTCTTTTTTACTACTCTATGATTACATAATACTTATTACATAGTAGTATCATCCATATACATATATTCCTAATTAATTTCTAACAGGAAACCCCCCCCACAAAAAAGTAGATTTCGAAAATTATATAAATTATAAGGATTCTAATCAGATATTGTGGTTGATGAATCATGTGTATATTTTAAAAGAAAAGATGATAAAATGGATAACTAATAAAAGGACAAATAAACAGTAGCTATACGTTTTACTACCTTTTATGATGAAGATATACGGTGATATAAAAAAGACATACATTAGATGAATCACTGTTGACATTGAGGACAGAATCATAGATTGAATATGATATTATTAATTTGACTACAAATACATGTGACTTATTATATAAACGGTAGTAATTTAAACAATGATATTCCGAAAATGGATGATAGTGTTTAATCATCCATGAAGTACATTAGATTTTATCTTTTGTGGTGATGTACTTCTCAGTCATGTAATGGTATTTACAATTCAACTTTATGGCAGTAAGATACGTAATAACTTGCTCAAGATACAGATTTTTAAAGTTATTCGAATAGTAATCATAGTTTTGATATGAGTTTTGGCTATATTTAGTGAACAAAGGTTAGAATACTGATTATCAAGAAATGACTTGACCAGTTATTAGGATTAAGTATGTGTAGTTCATGCTTTAAATTTTCAGCATATTTCTATATCTTGTGTGTGAAAAATATATAGAATACCATTTTGAATTAACTTACTAAACCACATACATGCATTAGAGGATCTGTGTGTTTCGTAGGTGAAATCGGTCTTCGTTAAAGTTTTCGCCTGGTAGAAAAAATAATTTGAAACATAGACTGATCATTTTTTATCAAATGCAGAATGTTTAGCTAAATGCAATCATAAATAACTACCTGTGTACTCTCTAATTTCGATATTCTCATGGTTTGTCAAACAGTTCTAATAATTTCATATTTTCATCCTAATCAATGACGATTCACTGGAAATGATCTTCAGATAACTTGTCTATAACACAAAATTCAGAAGGCAGGATCGTGGATGCGCACTGTTGAGGAATCCCAAAATACGATGAAACGGCCGTCCAGTGCTTCCAGGTTTTCCATGGTGGTCTGGCTTCAACTGACTCGTGATCCCAACTATGGAAATTAAAGTGTTTGTGAAAGATATCGTACATTACAAGTTTTTAAAAAACGTTATGCAAAAATTAAATGCTGAAATTACATAAAAACGCTTTACATGGATTCTACTATGTTAGTAGTTGTTGCTATAGTGTTAAAAGTTTATCTAGAATAATGTACTTATGAATTTAAAAACATCGAAATAAGCGTCTAAAAATGTTAAACATATACAGGTGTATCTACACAATGAAATTATATTTGAGGAAATGCTATGTTAGGAATTTTTTAATGAATCTTAATATACTACTGAATATTTGAAAGAAAACTACTTTCAGCTTTGACTACATCGAAAATGGATCTAATATATTCGCATCTTGTTATAAAACTGAATGAACTGAGATTAAATTCATGGTTGACATAATGAGAGATCTGTGATATATGAATGACAAAAGTAGTTATCGAATGTTTAACATTTAATTAGGCTAATAATTGACAAACACGCGTGACTCACTATTGAATGATCTTCAGGGAATGAAACAAATGGGGACTACTACATTTTAAACAAACTATTAACACGTATAAAAGATATAATAGATGCCTTTATTATATTTAAGTATTGTTAAACTCAAATTAACGGGACATCAATCATGTACTTTAGGCGTGCGATAATAAATCACTTACATTTAGACCTTATACTTATATATTTTCAGTTCAGTCAGACAGAAGTTGAAAATATTAGGGCGTATTTCAACTGAAATCTTACTTAGATAAGAAATATATCCAAGGTGTTTCACTTCATCCTTATGACATAAGAACGAAGTATGAAGAAAACAGAAAGTAACATCAATGTTTAATCAGTCATGCAAAACATTTAAAGTATCCTTTCTATATTGAAATCAGTAAACGAGTTTACTACTTGAGTCTAATTCTACAGAAATTAAGAAAGGAAATTGAAAATATCAAGTGAGAGAGCTAAATGCTAAACACATAATTCATCTTCATATATATATGTTAAATATTCAAGCAAAACACTGAAACTGGACGTTCGAGACTTGATCGCTGCAGTCGTTTCATTCTGTATTCTCATTGAAAGCTCGTTTATTGACGGCTTTTAGTAGGTATATGATTCGCAATTTACATTATTAAGTTTATAGACTTAATAATTATAGTACATAACTATTCAGAGATCAAACCAACTTTTTTAAAAATTCTGTATTTGTTTATCTGTCCGACAGTTGAAGTAGTACAACCTATTCTATATAAATCTCTGATATTTGTACAAAATAACTCAAACTTTCTTCTAATGAATAGATCTTATAGGGTCAGATGACTGAAAAATATTTTGGCATTATTTATCAAGTGTTTCATTATGTTACAAGTAAATATGACGTAGGGTTCCATCTTTATTTTTATAAAAAAATGTGTTAACTGATTATTTTCAGAACACCGATAAAATAACTCATTATTCTAGTAAGACTTACTGGACTGATAAACATTAAAGATGATCTATTAGCAATTAAGCAATTTCTAAAATGAACATCAGGTATAAGGATTTATTTCATATATTTATATAGTTTACAAAGAAAGTTGATTTTAAATAATCACTGTGAAATATATTTATTATTAGTATAGGGTGATGAAGATTGTTGAGTTTCAGTTGATATCATGAATGGAGGGATGTTAGTTCACCATTTGAAAACCTGGAAGAACTGTACGATCGTTTTGTCTTAGTTCGTGACTCTTCAGAAATGCATATCCACGATCACGCATGCAGGATTCAAACCCAGGACCTTCGGTTTCTCAGGTGAACACTTTACCCCTAGACCACTGAGAGAGGATTCAACGGTGTTAATGTGTAGTATTCTTCTATTATAAAAAAAACATTTTATATCTGCTGAGCTTTATTTAATTTTTATTTGAAAACAACGACGACATTTTGTTAATACTTTTCATTGGTCTAGTAATTTTCCTTAGTAAAAGCTTATTTTCTTCTTTAATAATTTTATTTGGACCTATTACTTATTTAGATATATTGTAGTGAACAGAACACGGATGGGGACAGTCGAATGTATCTGAGCACAAAATTACAGAATATATCTGATAACCAAATAGTAAACAGCTGATTTTCAAACTATCAATCAATTGCCTCAATCTTGACCGTTCCTTCTGCAAATATCATTCCATCGTCTCTGATTTCATTGTTCGTGCATTTTCATACCAATTGCATTTCATTTCCGTTCTTTCGTTATCCATTTTCTGCCAAAATACTTTCTATGCCTGACCGTCACTATACACTACTTATGTGGATATAAGTAAACCACACCATAATATTACTAAAGAATACTATAATACACTATCATTTATTATTTTGTTCTTCAAGTCTATCATTAAGTATATACAAATGTCTAAATGATAAATTTTCGGAAATTAATATTAACACTATGAACACAATTATCATTCATAATCTAATGAATCCTGTTAATTTGATTGGTTTATTTATCTTAAAAAATTTATTTATTATTAAATAAGAACATTTCTTATAAAAACCAAAAAAAATTTATTTAAATGGATTATTCTTATTGGTTTATTTTTTATTACAATCAACCAATCATATAGCTAGAAATATTTTTGATTAAATTACATAGATTTATTTCCTTATTAATATATTCATATATATAATAATAATAATAATAATTTATTTATTAAACACATACTTTCAATGCTACTAAAATCATTTAATTAAGTAGTATTTGTTATAATAAACATGATATCATGTTAATATTGTTTGATTTAACAATATATATGAACAAAATTGTAACTATACTCTTTTGTATGTTTCTAATTGTTCTAGAAGAATCTAATCAAAATTTAGTGGATATAAATGATTATGTAAACATTTCATTATATCAATTTCATTATAATTTGAATAAAGGAAAAAATTCTAATTCTAGAATTAAACGTCAAATTGATCCATCTATACCAATTGTAACATCAAATAATTTAATCTATTCAGCTGAATTAAGAATTATTGCTAGTGCTGTATGTAAATCACATTGTTTACAAAGATGTACAGAAAAATTAATGAAGGATTCTATTAAAGATAATATGGTAAGTGAATAAATGGATAACATTTTTATGATAAACGGTTTTCATTTGTATGTGTGTGTATGTTAGTTTAATTGGAAAGTTGAAAGTTAGTTAATTATGATGTAAAGCTATTTTTGATCTAAATATGAACTAATAGAATGTGAATATTTTCCCTAGCTAGTTTGTGGAAGATATAAAGAAGTTTACATTCAGGAAGTATATAGCAAATGCTCCGGAAATCTTTTAAACAGCAATTTTCGTTTTAGGAATAATTAGTACCCTTTATAAATTACGATACTGCGGTGAGAACAAGAAGTTTATTAGAATAATACGATATATAACTTTTTCTTATTTTTGTTGTACTTGTATTCCAAACTAGCCCGTAGTTTGTTTCTGAGTATAATATCCTTATATGTTCATGTTTCATAAGTGAAGTCTCCTTTAATTTATTTGTATTGGCTGCTTGTACAAGGCAGTTGCTATCTGAACTCAGTAGCTAAATCGATAATGAAATGGCGTTTGTAGGAAACGGTAGTTGCATTCATATGACAAGCCCCATATGAGACAAAAAGAGCTGCCTGGATTCCATTTTCAGACACCATCTATCTCCGTTTATAGCCTCCTTTATTTGTTTATTTTGAACAAAAAACAACGTTTTTAGCAGAACATCGTGAATTTATTTCATTTTATTGGTTTATCATTAATCTCTTCCAGACTATTTTATTTCAAACTCAAGGTTTTGGATAAAGTTTAAAATACTTATGAAGATGAAATTGGTTAGATTGAAAATAAACTACCATGATGTAGAAAATTTCCAGACAAATTAGGAGGAGGTTGAATGAAATTTACACATTTTTAAAATCCAAAAGTTGTTTTCGGAATAGTGACTTGCGTTGTATCAAAAGGTGATTGATTCGAAACTAAGTAACTACGTAATGAAGTGATGGAGAACTAATAACAACTGAGTTTGCAATCAATTAAGCTCAATCCGTTATAAAAAAGCGCTAAATTTGATTGAGAAATTACAAATGGGAAAAACTGATGTGATGTTATGATCGAATACAAAAGATCTGGAAACGATAACATATTGAGATAACAAAAATTGTTTATATTTAGGCCCATGATTCAAGTCTCAAACCTCTGATAATGATGACTTCTTCAAATTTAAAAGGCTTAAGTTCGTTTGTTTGTTAAACGCTTAGAAGCTTCAGGTTATCTGTCTGATATTCTTTGTCCTCAAATTGCCTAGAAATCATTTCATCTTGTAAAGCATCTCAAATGTTATTTACAATCTTATTTTTATGTAGCATAGATTAGAAGCGAATGATGAAAACCTAGCAAAATTGAATTGTATTATTCATTTCATTTAGTTATTTGTATTCCTTATAGGCTGAAACTCTAATAAACTATCCAATAAATTTTGTAATATTATACCATATAGTTCTGATAGACTTTGTTTATTCAAAAATTTGCTCCTTAAATACTTTTTCAACTTCTTTCGACATTTAAAAAAAAACTCTATTTTGTTATTTTCAAACAACATTTTACGTCCGTTTTTTAAAAGTATACTTTAAACAAATCATTTGAATAGGTAATATGAAATCACTGTTCGAATGTCGTCCTGGGTTCAAATCCCTCATGCAAGACTGTGTATACACACTGCTGAGGAATCCCATACTCAGACGAAATGACCGTCCGGTGCTTTCAAGTATTTAATGGTAGTTTCTAATACTGATCAATCCATGATCTCAATCAAAACTCAACAATAGTCATAACCCTATACTGATAAAATTTGATTTAAAATTTTTATGTGAATAAAAAAAAAATAAAAGGTGTTTCTGTTTCAAGTGTAATATATACGTTCCAAAATATTTGACTAGTTCAACTAATATTTTAAATTTTAGTCAAAACATTATCGTGCACAATCTGCTACATAATAAAATAAGGCCAGATCTCCTATATTTATATTTAAACATCTATATCAAGTCATCATATGTAACTTAACTATGGTAAATTGATAGGAGACATATTGTTTTTTTTTGAGTAATTGTCAGCCTTAATTTCTTTTAATTTCATTTTAGACAGCTAGTTCTATAGTCGTTTTCCAGCAAACATATGTTTTTTGATGCTGTCATATTAATTCCCGAGTGTCGTATGCCCGTGCTTTGAGAAACTTTAGTTAAGTTGACCAATGACAACGATAAATGATCTATATCTTTATAAATTGTGTTCTGATTTATTAGGTTTTACATAATCAACTTATGTGTAACTTTTGGTTACAGTCAAATGACATTCCAATGTAATTAAATGTGTAAGCATATTCAATCACCAGTAAATATAGTTCTTGTGCTGATTTTTAATAATGTCTCAAAATTTCAACCTGAAAGAATGTCGTAATATGTTGAAGTCAATGATCTATTTAGTGAATGAATAAATTCTCACGTTACTTTCTATTAAACTACTGGGTTAGGTAATATACAAATAAACTTACTCATAGATTCAATATACCCACTTCAAGGCGTGTACCACTCAACTGTACAGCAGTTCAGTTGTCCAACGTCAAAATTAGTAAATCAGTTATTCTCTGTCTTGAGCATGTGCTTGTATGATAAATAAAATTAAGGTATCATCAGATAGAGGGATCTATAATCTTGTGGAAAACAATTATTTCTAGATCATTTTACTGACCACCACATACTAAGCAAATTTGGTATCAATCTCAAATCAGTTTCACTAAGAATCATATACTAAGAAATTAATTGTTCTTATATTTAAGTCTTACGAAAAGTAAGTACTAACATACCTAACAATGACATTGATTAATATTTGTTCAACGAATTACTTAGAACAATTCATTTAAACGTGTTATTCACTGAGTAGTGATGCTATAGGACCTGATTTTCATTTAATTCATTGATGAGTACGCATCAATTTAGCTAACTCCATAGACGTATTAATCTTGAATTATCCACCTCGAAGCATAGTTTTGTAGAAAATAAATAATGATTTATTAAACTCTCACCATTGTTTTCATTATATCTTCTTTTATTCACATAATATGCAATAGAAATTTTTAAATACCATTAACTTTGGTCACTTAAGACTATTGTAATCACCTACACATTTAATAGTTGAGTTCATGAGTCAGTTAGAATCAGACCACCATGGAAAACCTGGAAGCACTGAACGGCCATTTCGTTCTAGTGTGGGACTCCTCAGCAGTTGGCATCCACGATCATGCTCATGGAATTCGAACTCAGGACTTTCGGTCTCGCTAGTGAGAGCTTAACTACTAGACCAGTGAGTCGACCGGCATCCAGTGGTCTTAACGTCTAACTTCAATCCACGAAATTGCACCACCATCCACCATTGTTCTCAGTGAATTACTATCTCAAAATAGGTTGATGTCTGTATACTGCAATGCAAACAAACATAGTTTTATTGAAAAATGTCTTACTTATTTGATACATAATAATTACTAGACGATTGCAATAAATGAATCTTTCCTAATTCATTAAAATTATGATATAAACCCTAGAATTTTTGAAAGACCTACATACTTTGTATTATATTGTAATTCCTTCATTAAAAATGTATATCTTCATCAAACACAGAAATCAATTATTTTACTCTCCTCCCTATTCTCACCTTATGTTACCATGTAATTAAAAACAAATGATTGTATTGTGGAGTCCGACAATTATCTTATCATTTATAGTTTATAAGTAAGGTGGTTGTTTCTTTAAAAAAGTGTTTGAGAATTATTCTTATTTTTTAAATAAAGTCTAAGTCTTAATTAAAGTCTTAATTAAGTTGTTTCTCCAGTTACAAATAATTTACAAGATATGTAAATCAGAGGGGGTTTTGTGGAAAATTTAGTATCTTCACAGTTGAAATCATCAGTCAATTGAAGCTAGACCACCATCGAAAACCTGGAAGCACTGAACGGCCGTTTCGTCCTACTATGGGACTCCTCAGCAGCGCGCATCCACGATCCCGCACTCGCGAGATTCGAACCCAGGACCTACCAGTCTTGAACCGGAGCCCTTAACCGATAGACCAATGAGCCGGCATTCAACGGTGTTAATGTCTAACTTCGACCAATCCACGATTTTGAGCGAAATGATCGTCCAGTGCTTCCAGGTTTTCGATGGTGGTCTCGCTTCAATTGACTCATGATTTCAACTGTGAAAAGACATGTAAAATCAGTGATTTCAGTGAAAAATCAATTCTTTTTTACAGAGAGTTCTTTTTCAAAGAACTGCTTTTGATTATAAAAGCATTTACCATAAATATCCATATACAGAATGTTTGAGATAATGATTGATTCGAAGAACGTACACATTGGACATTACATTTATAAAAGTACAATTAAATTTTTAAAATACCTAGTGTCAAGTGTATATAAGGCTTACGATTGAACCGGTTGCTTTGCATTAAGCAAAAACTGACTACCGTTAAAAAATTCGAATCATTCTCCTACAGTGAATATTAGAAACCGAATTGACAGAATCCCATCAATGATAATAAATGTATAACATTTTCTTAGTTACTAATCAGTAACCAGTTAATTCATGATCCCTAATTCTATCAATAATGCCAATAATTCTATATTCTTCCTATCCTATACATGGCTAAATAGCTTTATTGAACATCTGTCATTATTGAACAAAACAAAACTGAATGGTTTCCAAAATTTTTGCAATCACAATGAATTTAAGTGACATTTTTTAAAATCGCGAACAGACTATCTGATTAATACTAAAGGCTTAAAGAATGCTAGACAACCCTTTCATACCGATTAGCAGGAAATATGCATAGAGTCAAACATATGATTGTATACAAGACTCGCGTTAGACATGATTCCCCTTACAGACTAAAGAGTCAAATTCCCATTAGTTCTTCATAGTGATATATGTTTTAACAATTAACTTAATTACTGTTTTACACTGAATTTTATGAAATGATATTCTAGAACTTAAGTCTATGAAGCTCAATAAGCATGTTTTAAATAGTTAATT